ACAACAACAACAACAAAAAACAACATTGGTACGTTTGTATTCGTGTTGTATTAAATGATTGGTAAAACATAATGGTAAATAATGTAATATGGTAAAAACATGCAGGGGGTCCATAAAAAGGTCAGAACTCTTATCTCTTGGCTCACCAAGGCAAGTATGGTTGCAAAGTTGTTTTGTTTGGAATCCATTCCAGCCACTTGGATGACATCCACCAGCGATGAAGTACTGACACTGTTGGCTTGTGGAGTTGAAGAAGTAACGGGGAAAGTAACCGCGACATACACTGTAAGGAACTATCTGGCATAATCCTCCTGGAATGAGGCAATCAAATACGTTCATAAAATTCGAGCCCCGCCGTGCTCGGTGTCGTATGTGAGTAGAGTTGTTTGTGCTTCAAGGGTTTTTCTCCGGGTTCTCTGTTTTTCCTCCTTCCTCAAAAATTAACTTCTAAATTCCAATTCGATCTTGGGCATTCACCTAGCATGGATCTGAGGGTTCCGTTCGTGATTGTCCCTCTCTGTGATTACAGACAAAACTGGTAGAATTTTTTAAAAAAGATTTTTTTAAATGGATCAAGAAAACGGTCATTTAAGGTGCTCGGACTGCATGACTAATAGACCTTATTCGTGGCGTGACAAAGTTCCCGATTCAGCGTGACAAACCTCCAAAGGATTCATTTTTGTTTTTGCTCTTCGAAAAATTCGTGAGTGTCCCAAAGGATACGAAAGAAATAACGATGATATCCCGACGAGTTTCCAACCAATAGCTGTTCATTCTCCTATAGAGGTCTGTCAAATTCAATTGTGAAAACTTTGTCACAGCACGAATAGGGTCTATTCAATGCACATTTTATTCCAAGTGGTCGCTCTAGGGAGGTCGTCGTCCATGAAGTTGCCTTTCTTGATTTTGCGTCCCATTTGGTTTGGGAGCACACACACCGTACATTCAAAAAGTCTATTTTACGGAAGAATAGTTAGTTACCTGGAACGCATCCTCCCTCATCAACCATTGTTATCGTCTTCCCAGTTCGACAGGCTGTTGCAGACATGATACAATGACTGTTGTACGAATTACCATCCGATCCACAGACCGGTTCGTAAAGCGCTCGGCAGTCTTCGTTCTCACGACAGACGCAACGTGGGCCAACATCTTTTACGTACTGACATTTCTCACCAACCGTGTTGCATTTGAAGTCATCGCACACATCTTGTGGAATATAAGCAAAAAACATGTTACGTTTGGGGTGCTACCGTACAAAATGAAAGATATTTAATCCATAGGCGTGCCCCTTCTTTCATAGTTCCGCCGGCAGCCAAAAAAATATCGGAGCGATGAAAGAAGGAGCCAACGTAAGGACTAGAGAATGCTTATGTAGTATCTCTACTCACTTTTACAAACCGGTGGAAGATGAGACCAGCTACCATTCATGGTGCAAGTTAGTTGTCGCTGACCAACCAAAGCATAGCCATCATCACAGGAGAATTCCAAAGTGCTTCCAATTGTAAAGTTATTCCCTGCTCGTTTTCCATTCCTTGGTGGGAAAGCGTCAAGATCATCACACGAGGAGACTTATTTAGGAAACAGAAAAATCTTTTAATTGAAATGACACAAAAAAGGTACAGTGAAAAAAGAGAAGAAGAAGAAGAAGAAGAAGAAGAAGAAGAAGAAGAAGAAGAAGAAGAAGAAGAAGAAGAAGAAGAAGAAGAAGAAGAAGAAG